ACCGAGTAGACTACCCAAGTACACCGTAGCTCCACCCCACTCTCCAAATCATGAGCTGAGTTCTGAAAACGCACTACACACTTCCACCAATGAGGCCCACTCAATGGGAAGTGGGCGTGACTGGTAAAGTTTTGAAGCGCATTTTTAGGACTCAGCGCATGAACTGGAGGTTGAGGGTGGGGCTACGGTGTACTTGGGGGGTCTACTACACAACGCTACCAAAATGACTAGGGTCCATTTTGCCGACCCACTGCCTTTAAGACTGGAAAATTATCGAATTTCGTAAAATTTGCGCAAGAGCTTTCAATTCAACCTAGCATATACCTCGTTACCGCGGCTTCCATCACCAAGCATGCACACATATCCGTCATCTCGATAACGTGCCGGCAGACGTCTCGTTCGTGAATACTGAATCAAGGGTGATATATTTTTGGCACATTCAAACTTTCCATCCTATTACCTTCTGTCGGCTGAAACCGCCATGCGTCAGTGGATTACCATATACTTCTTCCCGAATGTTGCCTCCACTGGAGCCATGTGGAAAAAACAGTTGCTCAGAAGGAGGAATTGTCATTGCTGCCATGGAATAAGCACAACTTGCAGGTGAAAAACCAGTAGCGAAATTTATCGTTGAAATGGTCTGGTACACATTCGGGGTAGAGTAAGAATATGGGGTCGCTCGATATTCAGCATAAGCGTGAGTGTTCAATGCTGGCCTCTTCACATCGGCGTACATGACTGGCTCACTTTGAGGTCTTTTCAAACCACCGGAAGATGTTTCCTCATTCCCTGTAAGGAATGGCGGCTGAACGCTCATACTGGACGCATTCTGAAACAACGCTTAGAATGCACAAGTACAGATTATTGCATAGCATAAACGTCTGTCACGAAGTCAATAAGACCTAAGATTGAAAAAGTGCAGGTAGTTTTGGGATTGGTCTTACGTGAATAGTTTATTGGAGGCCTCAAAGGCAGTGTTCGAGCAAGAAGTCGATTTTGAAATAGTCTTAATTAACTAAGCATATTCGCTTAGTGAATCCGAAAATCCACAC